AAACACTCATCCGACATGTCTTTTCGTTTTATCATCATATATGCACAAATTAATCATAACTATGCATGTGCAGCAAAGTATATAGCAATAGAAGAAAAAGAAAAATTTATGCTAATTTTTGAAAAAAATAAAGCATTGGCACAGTAAGGATACTTTATCAAAACAAGCGATAAATTGAACGAGATTATGTAATGCAATACATAACATAAAGTTATTTCTTGATCTTTTCATTACATGAAAAAAATATTAATCCCAAAGGACACGTTTGCATATTTAGTTTTTTTTTCTCTCTTATGATAGAATAATAATACAGAATCTAGAAATATGTACGAGTCGCTAAGACTTTACTATTTGGAATCAGCGCAGTGAATTGTATACGACTATGTATGTTTCTACGAATAAGCGATTGATCATTTGGGAAATTTTCTTCATTAGTCGTTCTTTTACAATCTTCAAAATGTGCGATCTGATATGCATAGAAAGAAGTCAGAGTTAATAGAAAAATATCTAGCAAAAAGAAAACCTTGTACACAAATATTCTTCTTTAGTTAGAAATATCAGACCATAAAGGTCTAGGTTAAAATCAAACGAATTGAAGCAAATTCACAAGAGGATATAACTCTGTGTTTCACGGAGAATCATCATCGAACTATCGAGTTTCGTTGACAATTCTAGCTTGATTGTAAGCGTGACTATATAGACTACACAGATTTACATTTTAGGATTTATCGATAGTTATATTTTCACTTTTTTTTCTTGTGAAAATCTTTTTCTATTCATTCATCTATATTAATTATGCTCACGTATTGGTACCATCGTACTGTTTTTTTCCCAGTAACGTCTTCGCCAATATTTCGAAAGATGTCGAAAATCATATCGTGGTCAGAGAAGCAAACGTAGCTGTATATTTGATATATTCAAGTGCTCCATTATGCTTTAATAAAAAGTAACGTATAAAGAGATAGAAGAAGCATTAGTATGCCCACTATACTTCGACTATTGATATATTGACTACCATACATCTTTGCGGAAACTTTTAAATTTTTTTTGTGCTGAAGAAATTAATGAGAAGTGTGAAATACAATGGTGTACATATAATCAGTTGATTAATACGGATAAAAGAAAAGAAAAGAAATGTATCTTTAGTGAATGAAATGTAGTTCAACACATTCAAATAAATGCTTTTGAAATCTAGCGAAAATATGTGAGTTGATAAAAAACGCTTTCGAACGCAAACATGTGCGATTATTTTCATAGGTACTGATAAGCCATAAATCACGTTCACGTCTTTTATTAAACTGAAATTTATTGTTTTCGTCTAACTTCTTCACCAATGTTGATTGCTATCGGATTCTAAAAAGATATATTTCGTTTTTTCAAGAATAACTTCACGTGAAGTTAAGTGACGCAACACAGTTGGATATGCATGTCTTTTGTCTTATATGCACGCCGCTCTGAGCACAAGATGATAAAATTGGCAGTTTACATTCAAGAAAATATTTATGAAGCGAAAGACTGCGCTTCGCTCAAAACTACAATAACTTGATCTTGTCATAAGCTAATGTGCTCCTCGAAAGGGTTTACATTCTAAGGATGGGTGTAACTGTGAGTGTCAATATGAGTGTTGGTGGATCCTTTTCTTCATTTATATCCACATAGCATCTGCATCTACCATACCTACATCTAGGCGATTATCAAGGAAGATTTTTTCTTTTGAAGCATTATAATCATCTGCAACAATTTTGTGATTAATAACCTTACCCTTTTCGAAGGGTATATCAGAGGCGAAATCGGTCTGGATTCTTGATGAATGGTCCTGATACCGATCTGAGTAAGTCAGATCGAAACGGAGCAATCGACCTACTGACAATTGAACGATATGAAATCTGGAACAGCCAACAACCAGTACCAGTTCCATGTCTATAGCATGCATGAAAAACTTCATTATTTTGACCGTAGAACTATCGAATTGATTATAAAAGTACTTCTCAGATGGTCAACATTATTTGATGCGGTCAATTTCCAACAAAAATTCTATAACATATCCTCTAGAATCAATATCAGTAGTATCTTATACTATCAATTTCATACATCATTTCCTCAGATATGTATTAGCTATGATGACAGGAAACGGCGTAAAAAATTAATGCAACAGATCATGTAAAATATAAACGATGCCTTAACCTCAACATAAATAGAAGTTTTGAATAAGTAGATATGCTAAAGGTAGCAAAATAAATTGGATAGATCAGCGAATGGTCCGTTTTAATGATAATCGCTAGTCTGGATGTGGATTTAAGCAATAACCACATCTGTACCATCCACACCCAATATCCATGATATCCATGTGATAACCCTATTGGTCAGTCTTTCGTTGAAGGAGATAATAGTTTCAACTAAAAAGTACAGAAAATCAGATGAAGAACATTTATCGTGTCAAGAAAATTGTACTGATAATGGAAAATGATGTGGACAACATGTTTTCGATAGAAAGTGCCACCTAAGTTACGCATCATGATAATCTCACTATCTCTTGGAAACAGGCTTTGATGAAAGAAAAAAAAATTTCAATTTATATTTGTCAGTCTTTGTTTAAGAGTATAGCAAGGGTGCGATTATGACTTCATTTGTAGGTTATCTTAATTATTTATCTAGCCATAAAATTACTTTTTATTCAATCATTATTTTATTACTTTGTTCAAGAACTGTACTTCGTTCTCCATCATCAGATATTTTTATTTCAAGCTAATGAAACTGCACAATGTTATCAGCTGAATGCATGTCCGTATCATAGGTTTCATATTTTATTGTCTTCCAGTTCCTAAAAAAAGTAAAACTAGGTCTCTTATATATCATGTTCTTCTTTAGAATACGTACTTTACGCGCGAATGCAGGAAGAACAAAAGCAGCACGATGTATATCACTCGTGTAATATTTGGTATCGAGTTCATCAGCTAATTTCTCGTCTACAGGTTCATTCAATTTACTATTCTATAATTTAGAAACATTATATTATTCGAAAAGAAGTTTGTTTTTTTGTTCACTATTGTCCACTAATTTTATTTGAATTCAGAATTAGAACGTCAGTACCTCTATCTAAATAGACGTATTGGTATGACGCTCACGTACATTTACCGCAGTGTGAATGATAACTCTTTACCGAACATCAAATATTAACACAGATCAAACCCTATCTTTCCAAGAGCGTTTTTGAAGCCATCTACCGGTTGTGTCTTATACTTCAGAATACTTTATAACTATGACAGACAGTCCTTTCTTAAAGCTTCATTTTAAGTGTTCACTGAACTACCTTGCCTTCTTTTAACACTTTCTTTGAACAATCAAATATCTGCTGATTTATCCAGCTAAACACAATTTTTTATTTATTTCGTCTCAGCTTAATGTCTGTGTTTTTGCTACTTTGTATGAAGTGAAACAAATTTTCTCAACATTTTTCGAAAAACAATTAGTTATTCTGTTTCCTGACTACATAGAAAACTTCAAGGAAAAATTCATTTGTTAGAAAACTAGATAATTCGATGAATATTTCAAATCAAACATTAGGAAAGAATTATATCTCTATCGCAATTGTAAAGTACTCTAATGTGTAAGAAACAATCAGTAGATGACTTAAGAAATGCTGGGGAAAAAATGGATTGTTTTAGGTCAATATTTCGTGTCTAGTAAAGAATAATGGCTCACATTTCGATAAATGTACATGAGCGTACTACCACTTGTTCAATTTAAATATAAGTACATTTTATGACAAAAGAATTCAGTGCTGTTAAATGAAATAATCACAGTATCTTCTAAACTAGCATCTAGATATTATAGAAAGAATTCTCACATTGCAAGCATTGCAAAAGTTCATGCTAGAAACAGAAGTCAATAACAATATGTCTGTCTGTGTGAGATGTAGTTCTAAAAGCATTCGCGTCTCTATATATTGATCAATTCGTTGAAAAAACGAGACATCTTTGGTAATTGTTTTTTCCGTAAAATGAATTTTTATCTTATTCTATAAACAATCATCAACTTCTAGGTCTTCATGATGCTTAAGAGAAAGCATTCTTTTACAGCACATGTAGCTTTAGTTAAAAAAAAACAGTTTTAAATAAAGATACTTTTTGCTAGGACAAGAAGTTCTTTAGCGTACTCTTTTCAATTGATTCTCTGAAAATTGTTTTCAACAATCGAGAAATAAACAGAGCTCCGTTTTTGAATGGTGATTTTCTGAATGTAGTTTTTCACATTTCAAAAATCTTTGATTCAGATTCACGTGTCAACTCATAAAAATGCTAAATTTTGATAAAGGGAAAATATTATATTTTTGTACTTTAGATTACACAAAGTACCACAGAATATGGTAAACTACAAAAATTCGATATTTTGCCTTTTAAATGTAACACGATTCATTTTGAAAATTTGAACATCGAATCGGCACGATATAAACTTAATATTAGAGTTAGAATGTGAACAGGAAGTGCCAGTGCTTTGAAGAAAAATACTTTTGCAGTCATTCCACAATTTGAACCGAAGACTATTGAGTCGACTGTTCAAAATAGAAAGAAAAGCTGATCCTTGGTTTTGTCAGAAGATAATGAGAAGTTGACATGCTTTTTATCAATCATCATAGTGTTTTTTTGATGTGAATAGATGTACGTACTTTATCAAGACTGGCTACAATAAAGCCTATAGTGCCACTTGGATAAGTCGGCGTAGATACATATGCGTAGGCGACCAGTGGAAATATATCACGGCATATAGTGATCAATTTTTTTATCCAATCAAGAACTAACCACATACTTTCTGCTGTTTCACATTGATACATTTACGTTCTGAAAACAAGAGATCATTTTTTTTCTGAGTAAACAGTTACCTTGACAAATCATGACACCATGTGGTGGTTTTAGTGCTGCCTTCAACATTTCATAGTAGGACTTTGTAAACAAAGATTCAGCTGGACCTGACAACAAACAAATATTACAGCGATTAAAATATCATGATGTACCTTCTGGATCAGATGAATCTGTAATAATTACGTCAAATTCATTTTTATGAATTTTGAGATATTCAAATCCGTCACCAATATTAATCGTTGCTTTTGGCGACAAAAAACCTTTGAACATTTCTGGAAAATACTTCTTGCTGACATCAATTACATCCTATAGACTTTCCTAAATAGCATTCAATGTTATAACCAATCATTTATAACTACCTGATCAATTTCGCACAGAACGACTTCTTCAACTTTTGGATGTTTGATAACTTCACGAAGAACACCACCGTCACCTCCACCGATGATTAGAACCTGACGATAAATGAAAGAGATAAGACTGAAATGGAAAGTATACTACAGTACGAACTCGTTTTGGATTTGGATGAGCAAGTAAAGGAAGAAATGCTAGCATCTCCTGATAGGCAAATTCGTCTCGTTCCGTACATTGAATTCGATTATCTAAGACAAGTACATTGCCATGGGCTGTACTAAAAACATACATGAGAATACTGGATCGATTTATTGTTGACTGAATACCTCTTGAAGACCAACACATCCTGATATTTTGATTGTTTATGATATAGGGTTTGATCGATTTCAAGTGCAAACGATTGCCCTGGTACATAACGTTGATTTATTTCTTGAAACCATTCTTTACTTTCCTTGATGATTGGCATATTTGAAGACTTGGATATAAAATGTTAGAATACGGGTAAGATTGCACACATAAAGGCCTTGATTATTTTGAATAAGCACAACTAATACCAAAGCATACCTGCCTATACACCTATATATGCTTGGAGAAAGGAAGCAAACACGTGGTAACTGAAGCAACTATCAACACAAAGTGAAATAATGCTGCTTGGTCAAGTGTGACGTAATAAGATTTTTTGCTTGGCATCGTTAATATTTCAACGGAATGAAGTTAGATAAAGTCAGAATGTCCAGGAGATATTTAGTTCCACCTGCTCTACACATTTCTTAAGATTCGTAACCTCCTTTACAATTTGACGATCAAAATCTAGATCCGTCATAGAATAATGAAACTTTATCCTATGAATCCATTCAATTTTATTTTGAAGAGATTTTGCACATAAGTTTTCTTTCTTATTAACTTACACAAATATCATCCTTCTTCTAGTACTTTATTCCAAGAGGAAACGTCATATTTTTGTTCCGTCAACTGAAGTGAGAGTCATAAGAAATAAAAGATTTGTGTGAATGTTTGTTTCCAAGTGTAAAGTCACATATTCATATATATTTTTATGATTTTATAGTAGACATTTTAACTCTTCGTGACTGTCCTGATTTTGGAACTTCGTAGCTGTTCTAGGGTCCGCTTGGCCGCATCCATATAAAATCACAAAAAGTTAATACTATTGCTCTATTTACATGTGCTTTTGCTTTCTGCTTGCTGTTTGTGTAAAAAACGAACATATCGGTGCCGATGATGATAATACGAAACTCTGCTACATCGAAAAACTGCTCGGTCGTTATTTCATGACATGGCTTGGCCTAGTTGAAAAAACTATAGATTTTTCTAGTTTAACTAGCAAGGATAAAGATATGCTCATGCATGGGCATGAGTGACTGGTTATATGTAAGAAAGTGAGAATGATTGCTTTTTATGCATCTTTATTTGTATCTTTCTTTTTATCAGAAGCAAAACAAAACTATGATACTAGTTTCTCGGGACAATGGTATCCTCATTTGAACTGATTCACGTTCATTCAATAAATACAATGTTTTTGCTAGCTTTTTCTTCACATATTTGACAAGTCACTAAAGTAACGCTTCTAGAATGAGAAAGACAAACATTCTTTTGACAAAAGTGGCAGGCTTGTCAAACATTGCGACCAAGTTGTGCTGAACACAAATGGTATCTTTTTTTGTTTTAAAGACTCAAAAGTCATTTGGATTTTCATACTGAAACCAGGTTTAATTGTCATTATCTTGACAGCAGATAACTGACTGTGCTTCATGTTTGGATAACTAGACTATGTCGCACCAGCCTTCTCTATTATTTCCGGTTGACTATTTGTAAAAACATTCTTTTCACCAGTATCGAAAATGGGTGGATAATTTTTCTAATATATGTTCGTCAGTGGATGCATCGTTTTTATTGAATAGCACTAATGCCACAATCGCTATACAAATCCAACTCTTAATCATCAGTGATATCGTCATCAGTATCATGTATATCTGAGAATAAAATATCTTCAATTCGTTTTAAATGTGACTTATTAACCGTATTGACACTATCAAACTACAAAGGCCACGGAAATGATTTTGATGAAAAATGAACTGAAAACACCCACAATATGAAGAAAAACTGAACTATGCGTTATAAATGAATAAGATATGAACGCATCATGTAAAACTATTTGAAAAAAACAATGGGAGACAAAGGAGATCAGCTTTAAAAGAATGAAAAATCGTTCTACTAACACAGTAGTTGTCTTGGAGTCCATGTGGACCTATAGCTTTATTTTTCTTTTACTTCAAAAGTTATTTATGATATAAATCATGGATAGTGGAAGAAAGTGTATAGATCGCAATGTGTTTGAGTGTCTGTGTTAGTCTTTTTCTACACGGATACCTATGCACACAGCCACCTTCATCAGCTTCAGATCGCGCATTGTGAAGATAGCTCAGTCACATCCAGACTCATCTGCATCTGTCTACATCCAGAGAAGTCTTCATTCATTTACCAATTTATACATCTACATACTTAGTAAACTGTTATACTACAGTTTTACAAAACAAACAGAGTGTGTGTTGGGCTGGTGCTTAACACACTTCAAGATAACAGAAAGGACTGAAGGTTTACGCCATCTTCAGGAATAATTTTCAGTGCTGAGCAATCTTAGCATACACCTTGATGCATCCCGCTTTCATACTATATTCTCTCTCATGTCATCATTGTCAATATTTTAATAACTAAACATAATGGTTATCAATGACCTATTCTGTTGCAGTGTTCTTGAATACTCTTCTCATCATGAAACAGGCTAGATTATAGAACGTAACCAGCGATAATAATCGAGTTGAGTCATACTCATGAAAAAAAAGGCTGAAATATGACTCAATGTCAATATTACCTATCTGTTATATGATCGAAGAGAAAAAAATAATGTCTTCGAAGCAGAGCATACCAAACATTGTCATTGACAAAATAAACGGAGCGAAAGCAAGCAAAAATATATAAGAGGTAAATATTAATATTGTTTTCTGTTATAGATAATTACATCAAAAGTCTAAATTTTATTGAGCAATGCTTCGTAGCACCCTCGTTTAATGGCGTAATAATAATCGGCCGAATTTTTGGCCTACAGCCTACGCGAGCCTAAAAAATATTATTCGTTTGTTTTTCTGTTCGTATGAATCATCTGCAGAACGAAAAAAAAATAACCAATTATTTTCGTAGGCCTACGTAGGCCGTAGGTCAAAAATTCGGCCGATTATTATTACCCCGTTTAATGCAAACCTCATTGGTCGTTTATCAAAAAGACTTATTATTCACGTCTGACATCTAGTTGATCGAAATGAAACGTTTTTTTTTGATCAAATATATTTTATTGGATACGCCTGAGCTTTTTTGAGCTGGAGACGTAGAATAGGTAACTGTTTTTTTGAAGATCAAACGATTTCCACGATACTCTGTTTACAGAGCTGTTCATTCAAACTTTTTACAGATCCTGAATTTCATAGGACATTGTTATACTCAGCTTGAATGATTGCATAAAACATTTCATGCAAGATAAATATGAAATTGCTACGTTTTGTGTCGCGCACATTCTTTCATTCTACACAATTTTGCAGTTAAAGTGATGATTTTTATTTAAAGTGTGACTACTCATGCGGGTCTTATTCATCCCTTTTCGGGTGATATTATGCCTAGAAAGAAACAAACAGAAATCATTATTATAGATCCAATTATGTTTTAGAAAATTGCACCATCACGAAGTATTGTTGTAACGACCGTTAGTTAACTCTATTCTAAGCGTTGTTGACGATGGCGAATATATCCCTTCTCGTATTGCCTGTCGAGTTAATCCATCATATTTTCGATTTCTGCGATACTCGAACCATTCTCTTTCCATTTCGTTGTATTTGCAAACAATTCTACACACTTACCGAAAGCTACGATCGGTATAATGTCACTTTGGATTTGAAGTCTACGTCCGATTTTGCAGTGATTTGTCGTATAATTCGACCTGAAAATGTTATTTCAATGAATATCTCCAATGACATTGCTGAAAGTCATGAAAACTCCACCTTATTGTCGTTCTTCGATAGTGATCGATGGATTCGGCTTCGTTCATTAATTTTTCAAGATTTTAATATCACTGATTTAGAATATTTCTTACAAATTATTAGAACAAAATCTTTAATCTCTCTTTCGATTGATTCGACTACAAATGAATATGAAACACTAGGAACTCTCATATCATCAATACTGGTTCAATGTAATCTTCGGAAGCTTTATTTACATAATACGAGTAATATGTTGAAATATATACTGTGGCCAATTTCATACCGATTAGAGCATCTGACAATCCATTCTTGTCTCTATAGTAACTATCTTGTTATTCTCCGTGAATTGCCTTATTTACGAACATTCGTAATGAAAGACTGTACTATAAATGATGCTGATGACAGAATGTCTTCGCCATCGAATTCCACATTCGATGCTAGATTAATGTCACTTACCATCACTGACTGTTCACTATCTAAAGAGCATATGGAATTGTTATTATCAGAGACACCTTTACTTCGCCATTTCAAATTGATTTCTCATAGACGAACATTAGACTCTATATTTGATGGTCTGGATTGGGAGCAATTCATTCAAAATAAATTGTCAGCACTAGAAAAATTCGAATTTTTCTTATCCCATTACTATCTATTGTACGATCCTTTTGATGGTCTTAAATCACTAATAGCTTCATATCGATCACCATTCTGGCTGGATAAAAAACATTGGCTAGTGACTGCTGCTTATACTATAAAATCATGTCAGGTTTGGCTTTATACACGACCATTCACTGGTATGGATCATGACATGTCACAAGTCAGATATGAGTTATCTTCGACAGACTATGACTGTTGTCTGGTTGCACGTCCGATAGATATAATTTTTGACGTCGATTCATATATGGTATGTAGACAGAATTATTTAGTATCAATGTTTGACTACAATTTCTCCTTATCACATCTGTTTTTAACGAGTTCCAGAACTAAAACCTAGAAAAAAAAGAACAGAATGAGTTTGGAATTTTATGATACAGACATGAAACCAACAGGCGAAAGACAAAGACCTGATATATGTTAAATCATGAAGTTCTCTGTAAGATTACACAAATCTCTGAATTCATGCAGGTATTGCCAGCTATGCGTATCGAAATTAATAATGACTAAGTCATAGTGCTATCAAATGTGATGAACTAAAGCCAGCAAATTATTTTTATAAAGTAAAAAAATCGTTCGAATGTATACCGATACTTGTAGAGTTACAGTTGCTGTTCGCTTGAGCTCACCTACGTCCTAACAATTACCAATTTGACAAAACATTGAATGAATCACTCTTTTTTTTATTCATTAGAAAAAGCATCGTATCACCTATTGTTAGCTCATATTTTTACAGGATAAAAATTTCTGAAGCTATTCTCGATCTCATACGTCTTTCAATAATATAGATGTCAATATTATGAAAAACTTCTAATTGACTGTTCAGTGTCATATATAGTAAGGGAAATCCTCAAAACTTAACGAATGGGATAGATATTTGTGTAAATAATGTTACAAAGTGGACATGTCAGTCTTAAATAATTTAATCACATCGATAAAATGAAATGTTTGGCAATAAATATTTAAATAAAAAAAGAATCTATTCAAAATCAACATATTTTTATACTCTCAATATATGCTTACAGTATAAATTAAAAAAAGTTTTAAATTTATCCACTTTTGGGAAGAATTTTTTCATCAGAAATGGGTGGTAATCTTTTCTTTTTTGTGCCCTACTGTAACTTACGAAATCACAGAGCTAGTCAAATAATTGATCGTTTTTCTCGCATACTTATCATCTTCTAACTGCATAGACACTCACTACAATAGACCTTGGATACAGTCGTATCCGCAAGCAAGGAGCAAAATATTTGGCTGATGCCTTACGAAACAATCAGGTGACTATTGTTTGCACTTCATTTCTCTCATATGTAGCTTTTCGGATGTACATAGACACTCACCACACTATATCTTAGATACAATGAATTCAAAGCTGAAGGCATTGAATATATAGCTGATCTCTTACGAAACAATTCGGTGCTTATCGTTTTTTTTTATATAGTTGTCATGTTTCTCGTTCACTATACATACAGACACTGACTACATTGGACATTGGAGACAATAAAATCGAAAGTCAAGGTGCAAAATATTTAGCGGATGCTTTACGAATTAACAAGGTGACTCTTATTTCTTCTTATTAGGTCTCATATACATCTTCTCGTACCAACACAGACACTTATGGTACTAGATGTCAAGCGAAATAGCCTGGGAGACGAAGGAGTGCAATATCTCACCAATGCTCTCAATAGCAACATGGTTATTCTCTTTGTCACTTTAGCTAAATGATATTCTTTTTCTTCTATCGACACAGACACTCACATCATTAGACCTAAGATCTAACAGAATCAGTCAACGTGGAGCTAAATATGTAGCTGACGTTTTACGAAATAATACAGTGACTATCATGCTTTCTTCATATATCTCTCATCATTATTTTCTATTCTCTATGAAGACACTTAACACATTGTACCTCGCTTTCAACCAAATTGAAGACTCAGGTGCACAACATTTGGCTGCTGCCTTACAAAACAATAAAGTGACTTTCATCATCACTTCAAATCTTTCAATCTTATATCAATTGTCTGCCATCTACATAGACACTCATCAAACTAGACCTTGGGCACAATGAAATCAGAGATAATGGAGCTCAATATTTAGCTGATGCATTAAAAAGGAACACGGTGATAGACATCGTCTCTTCATCTATCTCATTTTCATTTTCTTTTCCTTATACAGACACTCACTTCACTATCTCTCATATTAAATCCAATCGGAGAGAATGGAGCAATATATTTGACTGATGTTTTACAAAAAAACACGGTTCTACTTAATAGTTCTTCGTTTTTCTATCATGTTCAATTTTTCGTATTCTTATAGACACTTACTACATTGGATTTTGAACAAAAGCGAACTATATCTGATATGAAATAACAATTGCACAATTTTCGGCGATAAAATGATTTAGTACAATAGAAGAAACAATGTGATAAATATTTCATGTTTATGTTTTCGTCTTTTTTTTATGGATTTCTTCGAGATATTTTTTGTAAATTGTTTTATATTCAATTTTTACTAGTTCTTTTGTTTATTTGAATTATTTGTTTTGGTTTTATTGACAAAATGATGCGCAACAAGTATGTCTAATACCATCATAAATCTATTCAATAGAACTGAAGCAACCAAATCTTATATATCAGCTCGAAAGTTTTTACAGTATTCACCTATTAAATGAGTTTGAATAGCTTCAAATGAACAATCAATGAATAAATTAAAAGCTATCAAAAATTATCTTCAAATAGCTATAGTTGATGAACAATTCTTTGACATGATGTTATGTGATAACAAAAAAAAATAATGTCTTGAAGTGATTTTGCCAAGGACTAGGCGAAAATGGAAGATAGTTGTACTAAATTTTCATTTAAAAATTCATTTGAATCGAAGCTTCGATCTTTGGTCTTTGGTTGTACACCTTCTAAAACTTTGTACGATATACTTATATCTTGTCCTTTCTCTTTCCAAGTAGAGGTGTAATCCGACTATCTGAGTTATCGTTTTGATACAAAACAGGTATCTGACTTTCAATATTTAGGAACAATCTTCAATGATGTTCTTTTTTTATGAAAAACCGATTAGAATAAAATGAAATCTGCCTTTTGAGATAAAAAAAAAACAGATTTTAATTTACTCAATAAAAAGACAATTGATTTTAAGTCATTTTGTTGACTTTTTCTTCCACAAGTAAACATCAAATAATATCGTTTGTCAAATGTTGTTAGAAAAACTCATTGTAAGATGATTGCAATTCAAATGGAATAATCTGATTAAAAAACACACTTCGTTTCCTTTTTTTTCACATGATTTGTGGAGTTTCTTGTCAATCACTTCTGTACAATCATTTTCTATCCATTCTATCTGGGTATCAGTTATACATGCTTCAGTCTACTTCAACTATCGCTTAATAGAAACGCATTAGCATAATGTCTTATGAATAGATAATTTCAAGGCTTTTCAATTGATAATCTCTTCGAGTTGAACGAGATTGGAGTATATTTTCCTAATAATGATTCTATTTCAAAACTTCTCGAAGCTAACGCAAGTTAACAAAGATTCATCACTAATTTTGAGCAGACGATCCAATCGCCACTACACTCAATTAATGCATTGATTTACATCTTTACTATTAAATGCTTTGAAATCTGGTACTTTTAGTAAGAATCTTCACTGTTTACATTCTACTTTTTTTTTTGTTTCGATTCATCTTTGTACATCATATACATATCAACGTAAGTATTTAATATTTTTCTCTGCATTTGTTTATCACTGACATCTCTCTTGTTCTTATTCTCGATTGGATGTCAGTCTTTTCAGGTATAGATTGATTGATTGATTTATTCATTCAATTTTCTTTTCTGATCGATTTCTTCGAGAAACACTCAATATTCTCAATAAACTTAAATATGAGTCTTAATGAACGAACATTAACAGCAGCATCTACGTTGAATGTTCAAGGATTACGTGGAACATCAAATCAATCTGATGAACAAACTGAACCAAGTGCAACATTAAGTATTTTTTCACTTGATTATAAGAAGTAAGTTAATTATTTTCATATAAATTACAAATTTTATAATATTTTTATTTATTTAGACATGATGATCTGAAACAAATGTTAGATAGTAATAAAGATAATTTAAAATTAGAAGCTATGCGTCGAATTATTGGTGTAAGATAAAAAAAAAAAAAGTTATAATCTTTATCCGAATAGATAAAATATTATTTAGATGATTGCAAAAGGTAAAGATGCTGCTGATCTATTTCCAGCTGTTGTTAAAAATGTAGTTTCAAAAAATATGGAAGTTAAAAAATTAGTTTATGTTTATTTAATGCGTTATGCTGAAGAACAACAAGATCTTGCTTTACTTTCTATTGCTACATTTCAACGAGCATTAAAAGTAAGAAAAAAAATAAAAAATAAAGACTATAGAAAAATCTCTACAATTATTATTTTTGTTTTTTTTTTTTTCTTTAATATTAGGATCCCAATCAATTAATTCGTGCAAGTGCATTACGTGTATTGTCTAGTATTCGTGTTCCAACAATTGTAACAATTATGATGTTAGCTATTCGTGATGCTGTTACAGATATGTCAGCTTATGTTCGTAAAACAGCTGCTAATGCTATAGCAAAATTATATGCGTATATTTAATTGTAATTATCTTTTCTATTGATCATTGTTTTTTTTGTCTAATATTTAGTTTGGATCCAGAATTAAAAGATGAACTTGTTTTAATTATTGCTAAATTACTTGCTGATAAAACGATTGTATGGAAAAAGAAAATATTTGTTTATTATTTTAATTTATATAAATTTTTTTTGTTATTTTAGTTAGTTAATGGTAGTGCTGTACAAGCATTTGAACATGTATGTCCAGAACGAATTGATTTAATACATAAAAATTATCGACGTTTATGTAATCTTTTAATTGATATTGATGAATGGGGACAAGTTACAGTTTTAAATATGTTAACAAGATATGCACGTTCACAATTTATTGATCCGAATAAAGTTTTTAATAAAAATAATTCAAAAAAGTAAATATTTGAGAGAAATTTGTTTCTTTTTTTTTTATAGACGATTGAAGATGAAAATAAAAATTTTTATGAAAATGAAATAGAAAAAATTGATAATGATGATGAAGATTCATTAGAGAAAAGAACATATGTAATGGATAGTGATCATCGGTTATTGTTGCGATGTACAAAACCATTATTACAAAGTCGAAATTCAGCTGTATGTATATTGTTTTATTAGAAAATAATTTTTAATTTTTTTTTTCAATATAAAATCTTTCAAATGAGATTAATAGTTACTAAATATCGTACTTCTTTTGATTCTAATACTATGAACGATATACTTATGTGATAGAATTCATTGAAAATGTTTGTGATATTAGTTTTTTTTTAATCAAATAAAATGAACCTCTTTGTTTGTTCAGACTTATTTTTTATTAATATACATAATTTCCCGAGACATTCTTCAAAAAACGAAAAGTTCAATAGGAACAATTTTCTATAAACTAAACCATTTCGACTATTTGATGAGTAATGAACATCGATGATGAAAAGAGAGGAAAGTTGTTCTAACATCATTGTTTTTATCATCATGGATGCATGTATCAATAGATTAAAATGCTTACTTTGATATGTTCTCTCGAAATATCTATACAGTATGTCTCGGGAAATTATGAATGTTATTGACATAAATAAAAAATATAGTATTACCCCTAGGACACGTAATATTTCTACATATCAACATTGTTCAATTCATAAATATTTAATCGATAGTTAAACCTTCAACTACAAACGCCTCTCTAATCTGAACATTTCAAAAGATTTCAGTCAGATGTTCAAATTAGAAAATTTTAAATTAATTTAAGTAGTTTGTTGGACTTGACGTAGATTAAGAAAGATGTAGGTCTGAAAAAATTTTTGTCAGTTCGAAATTTTAGATGATTAACTTTTCTTATAAGTTAAAGATTATTTAATTGTATATTTTCTTTTTTCAAAAAGGTTGTTATGGCTGTAGCACAATTATATTATTATGTAGCACCTCATAGTGAAATTCAAATTGTTGCTAAATCACTTCTTCGTTTACTTCGTCATCATCGGTAGATTTGTTGATGTTTTTTGTTGCAAAAAATAATAATCGCTTCTTGTTTTTTCTTTTTTTTTGCATTATATTATCTAGTGAAATTCAAACAATTATTTTAAAATCAATAGTATTCATAGCTGATAAACATAAACAAATATTTGAACCATATTTAAAATCATTTTATGTTCATTCAAATGATAGTGGTCTTGTTAAACATTATAAACTTGAAATTCTTACTACATTAGCTAATGCTACAAATATATCAACAATACTTCGAGAATTTCAAGTAAATAATAAATTTTATTTTAATTTTTAAAATAAATTCTGATTATTTGTTTTTTTTTTTTAGACATATGTTTTAAGTTCGGATAAAGATTTTGCTGCTCATAGTATTCATGCAATAGGACGATGTGCAAGTACAATATCAGAAGTGACTGAAGCTTGTTTAAATGGTCTTGTTGCATTAATGTCAAAAAAAGATGAAACAATTGTTGCTGAAAGTGTTGTTGTTATTAAAAAATTATTACAAATTAATGTACAAAACAAAAAAAAAATTTTCTTTATTTAATAAAATGTTTAAAATCATTCTTTTTTTTTGTTCTTATTGTTATTTTAGCCATCACAATCTAATGAAATAATTAAACATATTGTTCGAATGGTTGATAAAGTTACTGTTCCAATAGCACGTGCTTCTATTTTATGGCTTATTGGTGAATATTCTGATCGTATTAATAAATTAGCACCAGATGTATTAAGAAAAATGGCAAAAACATTTACTGATGAAGTTTGTTATGAAAATTTTCTTTTAATTAATTTAAATAAGTTGATTTGTTTTTTTTTTAGGAAACAATAGTTAAACATCAAATATTAAATTTAGCTGCTAAACTTTATGTTGTTAATGCTAAACAAACTCATTTATTAGTTCAATATGTATTTAATTTAGCTAAATATGATACTAATTATGATACTCGAGATAAAGCACGACTTCTTCGGTAATAAAATAATCAATATTATTATATTTTTATATAAATTTTGTTTTGTATATAGAGCATTATTAATTCAAAATGATAAATGTCCTACATTAAGTAAACATGCAAAAAAAATTCTATTAGCACCTAAACCAGCACCTATTCTCGAATCAATTATTCGAGGTATAAGAATTTCTTTTTTTTATTGATATTTTTTTATTTTATTTTATATTTAGATCATGATCTATATACATTAGGTACTTTATCATTTGTTATTGGTCAAAAAGCAGTAGGTTATAAAGATCTACCAGATTTTCCATTGGAACAACCAGATCCAAATGTTCGTAATGTTGAAATAATACCTCCAGTACCATCACAACATTCAATATCGAAAAAATCAAATACATCTACAGGAATAACATCAGGAGAAAGAAAGAAAAGTACTAATGATGAAAATTTCTATTCCGATGATGAAAAAGAAGAAGAAGAAGAAGAGGAAACTTCCACTGAAGGACCTGATACAGATAGTGACGAAGATGAAGAAGAAGAAGATGATGATGAAATAGAAAAACAACAAACAATACAAAATGAAAATCATACAAATGAATATGAACAATTAGATGCACAATCAACAAATAATAATGAACCAGAAGAAGAAGAAGAAGAAAACGAACATAAACAAGAAAGTAGTGAAGAAGAAGAATCCGAAGAAGATGATGATGAAGAAAATGAATCAGATGAATTAACTGACGATGAAAAAGTAAAATCTTTATCCTACATAGAATGTTCCAAACCTCATCAGATTTTGAATAAGTATTTCGAACAGAATCCACAGCAAATTATTAAGTGAAAAACGTAAAATATTCTTTTACCAAGTAGCTAAAGTACAGTACTGCTTAGAAGGGAAACAAAAATATTTTATCCATTTCTCAAATGTAAAAATTGCTCTTCTTTTTTGTGTGGTTTGACGCGAAAGCGTTCAAACGAGAATCATAATTAGAATGTTTGAATGATTATTCGATTTTAACAATAAGCGCAAAATATTGAACAAAATGAAAGATCGTCTTGTTTTTCATTACCATCTCTTCTTAAATTTGACAAAGTTTGAAATGAAAAATTATTCACAAGGAATCAGACGATAACATTTCCAAAAACTCGTTTGAGACATTGAAAAGTTTTCAAAATCAAATATCGATTTTTGTATCACGATGGTTCACCACTAATCACAAAATACTTTTTAAGTAAAATATAAGTACCATTCTCTCATTCTTAACTAGTCAAATGGATGTATTAGTCACATGAGGATAAACCATCATATGATTCTATAATATTTTATAATAAATATTGCCATGTGTAAATGTTTCGTTCCTCGATATATAAATATAGATACCTATTTTAACTTTCGTTCTATGTATTTTAACTGTATTGAAAATTTTATTTTTCAGTCAACACCCAATCAACTATTAATAGTTGCTAAATCAGAATCGACTATAGCTCCAAGTGATTATACCATTCCTGCAACAGAAAAATCTCTTTTAGAAATGGATCGTAAGTTAATAAAATATTTATTTATTTATTTTTTTCTTTCAAACTTATATTTAGTTGAAGCTTTTCTTGGTTCAACATCAACAAATGTTCAAGTAGCATCCGTAAAAAATAATATTTTTAATGATTTACATGGATTAGAATCTTTAACTGTAAGATGTTTTTAAATTTCTATACATTTAAATTTTATCTTGTCTTTTTTTGAGTAGTCAACATCATCAAATCTAAGACAATATGATTGTTTAAATCGTATAACTGGTCATGGTTTACAAATACAATATCGTTTTCCACGTACACCATTTCGACAATCATCAAATATGGTACATATTGAATTAATATTTACAAATACAACAACAAATAAAGATATACATTCAATAAAATTTCATAAATCGGTTTGTTAGATTTCATTTTTTTGTTGTTATTTTTTTTGCTAATTATTATAATAATAGAAATCAAATATGAATATTCAAGGATTTGATCAAATTGATATATTACCAAGTGGTTTATCAATTGTAACATCAATTGGTATTGATTTTAATGATAAAACACAACCGGCATTATTTGATATTTTTTATGATGATAATTTAATACCAACATCATTAACAATATCATGTCATGTTGGTGAATTAATTGAACAAAAATTTTTAAATGATCAACAATTTAATCAAAATTTAGGTAAAAATAATAGAAGCAATTTTGATATTATATTTATTATGTAAAAATTTTATAGCTCGTCTTCGTGGTATGAATGAAATAATAGATAATGTTAATGTTAATGAAATACAAATATCAAAATTAAATTTTAATACAATTCAAACTAAAGTACTTCAATGTGCCAATATGATTTCAGTACCATCGAGTTCTGGAGATTCAACATTGTTTCGGTAACAACACACAAAAAAAAACATTTTCTCATATCGTAGAAGTTCTTTGATGTATTTAATTTATTTGTTTTTTCATGACTTAAAATTTTTAGATTATTAACTGAACATATTTCAAGAATAGTCGAAATAATTTAAACATTATCTTGATGTTTTGAAGAACAAAAAACAAAATTAAAAATTATCTTCATTTTTCAACTAAAATATATCAGATTGAGAGTTTGCATACGAGTGTATACAATATTCTAAAGTTTTTTCTTTTTGGTTTTAAACTTTTGATATCAAAAGAGATCTCGAGACAAGGCTAAATCATTACAATAAGTGAAAAATTTGAAAATCTTCATTAAGAACTCATCTAATTTGTCAATAGCTCATCAATCAAATATCAACAAAGATTAATGACTTTAGATATTTTTCCTTGAATAGTGAAAACTACAGATATCTGCAATGTTCTTATGAAAACTTATTCAGAAATAAAGATACGAGAAAGAATTACAAACTTATAGTTTAATATCTGATAAATATCTCTTAAATAAATCTAATATTTGTTTACACGTTCTTTTCTAATATTATTAAAGTCATTATTTGTGAATAGTCTTAGCAATAAGTATATTTATTTTTGTGTTTCTTGTTTTTAGATTTTCTGGACAAACAATATCAAGTAAATCACTTGTACTTTTAACAATTCAATTAAATATTATTCAATCAACAGTTGATTTAACAATGAATTCTGAACAAATTATTCTTGCTACAATGTTACTTAAAGAAATAAAACAAACATTTCTATCAATATAATAATATCTATCTTTCAATAGGATTTCTATTATTTGAATCTTGATCTTTATGGTTATTATCTATTTATTGGTGCAATTGATTTCATTTTATTATATATTTTATTCTTTCTTATATAAATAAATACTTTTGAAAAGATAATAATAATTTAGATCTTATCAAAATGATTTCATAATTTAAAAAAAAAACAAATCACTTTTACGAAATAGATCAAGGTCATTTATAGCTTTTTTTCTCTTGCATAAACTTTATTTTGTATGATATATATATATATATATTGAGAATTTATAAATATCATCATATTCTGCAGTCTAGAGAAATAGCAAAGCAATAAGTAACATATGCTGTATGTTAGTACTCGTATTCACACTTCTGAAAAAGAAAATCTATAAAGATGAATTTTTCATTTTATATCAATAATGAGTTTGTGAAGTTAATTTATTTAGTACTTGAATTCGATAATCAAATATAATCATTTCAGTATATAGATTGGAGTTTTATTTCATTTTAACCATTTATCAAGATATATTGTGATTGATATCAAGTATTAAGTGATAAAGAAGCTAGAAATTCACTATATAATCGTTATATCTATGTGTATATGATAAGAGTCCCAACGGCAAATAGATATTCAACATAAAAGGCTGTTGAATCAACAATCAACGCTTTGTCGATAAATACAATTAAAAATTTTATCATGCATCGAAGTTCTATTTAAATAAGCTCGACATCGCATACAATAACAAAAAGAAGATTTTAAATAAATGTCAAATCGACTGAGAGGCTTGTTTTAGTTAAGAAAAAGTCAAATAGTTTAATATGGAGGCTTTGTATTGCATAAAAATATCTGAAAGGATTTTCTGTTTTTATAACTAATACATACGTCTGATAAAAATAGATTACTTAATATTTTTCTCAAGTTTCTATGACTCAGTACTCTATTTTTAATTTTAGATTTTTTTTTGTCAAAATATCTTGATTGTATAATTGATTTCATCTTAAAAATGAAACAATTTATTTTTTGTAAAATGGTAGTATAGTTAACGTTAAAATGAATATTCAAGGTAACAGATTGAATGCATTGTATTACACTATGTCTAGTAGTATAAAATTATTTTGCGTTGTTTGCGAACAAAGTATTCTTTTTCTCTTTGATAGGCTGAAAAACACTAGTCCTATTGTTGTTTAATTAACTACTTCACTTTTAGTCTTTCAAATAAACAAAAGAAGAAGAAGAAGAAAAAAAAACATTATTTTTCTAGTAAAAGTAATTTTCTAGATGAAAACTTATTCTTTCTCATGCCAATTCATATTTCATTTACTCATCCATTGTCTAATCATTATCAAAAAAAAAAAATCTATTATTCATAAATATATATAATGAAAGATGGAACGATAGAAATGATACTTTTAGCAACTAATAAAGAACAGAAAAAAGAAAGGTCATCATGACCATTATTGAATATCATATAAAATTATCTACCATTTGAAAATAATTTACTACTTATATAATAGAATTTTGTTCATATTAAAAAAATATTTCTTTTTTAATATATATATATATATATATAAACATATACATATATAAATCTTTTTTGTTTTTATAACAATTACAAAAGATATAAACAAATAGGCAACAAGTGTGCATAGAAAAAAGACAACAATTCATTCGATTGTAACATATTTAATACAAATCATCACTATTTGATATTGTAGTTGATGAAAAACCATTGCTATTGAGAATATTATTATTACTAAGCAATGAATGTGTAATTGTACTTGAAGTATGAGGATTATTTAAAAGTGATATATGTCCAGTATGATGATATTGTGGTGGTGTTACAAATGTTTGTTGTACTGCTGCTGTTGATACTGTTGCAGCTGTAGCACGTCCTGCTTTTGCACCACGTTTACTTGTTGTACCACCACGTTTAGTTGTTGGAGTATTATTAATATTTGTTGTCGATTTAAGTGGATTATCTTTTTCACAAAATGGTTGTCCATTAAAAAGAACATAACGATCACCTTTAACTAAAGGTATATGACATTTAACACAAGTAAAACAATTTATATGATAAACATGATTTGGACTAATACGCATTACTTGTTCAGTTGTTCCAATCACTTTATTACATGATGAACATGGACGACTACCATATCTTCTATAATTAAACAAAACAAAAAAAAAGAAAAAATGTCAATAATTTAATTTATTTCGAATAGATGAAGATATTAATAAGTTTTCATTTAATTGGAAAAAAAAGAAAAAGTAAAATTATTCTTTTTGTTATTCAAGGCTAAATTAAAAAAAAAAAGGAAAATGAAACTTTTGGGTGTTTCTATTTTTTTTTTTTTTCCTTCAAAGAAGAAAACGAATTCTTACTTTATATAATCAGATTTACAAAGAAGTGCATTATCTTTTGTATAAAATGTCGAAGCTATATCAGCTAAAAGTACATCACAACATTGACAACGCAAACATTGCATATGCCAATAATTTCCACGAGAAAAACGATCATGTGTATGAAGAAAATAACGTTCATGTATTGGTTGTGAACAACTTGAGCATGTATATGTATTTATATTCGTTGTATTTGTTTGATTTGAATCACAACGTGGTGCAATAGGTACCATTTTTGTTTGTGATGGTGGTTGTTGTTGTTGTTGTTGCTGTTGATCAAATACAATTGATTGTGGTTCAAGTTTAGGTTGCATTAATAGAACTGAACTATTATTATTGCCTAGAAGAAAAAAAAATGAATGACAAGAGGGTAATTAATATTCATGTACGTCGTTCTTTTCCTATTACTAATACATCTCGATTTCAATTTATTTTCCAATTATGAGATGATGATCGATGACGATTGTGCGTGTATATGAATGAGATGAGATTCTCTCTTTCTACTTGACACATAAGGGTAAGAAAAAAAAAAAAAAAAAAAAAAAACTTAATAAATGTGATCAGAAGAAAACAAAAAAAAGTCATTAACAGAATGGTAATAATTATACAAGATGAACGAAATAATAACATCAATGTAAATTGTATCAAATAGTAAAAACAGTAGCATATATGATCGACTCAATGTCTAGGCAATTACTCTAATTACACTCATTCTTCGTGGTTAGTACGATAGCAGGTGCAAAAAACAAAAAAATAATAACAAAAAAAAAATTTCGCAACTATATATAGTTAACAATCCTAAAGAGGATGATTGACATGAATGTTGTTTTTCAATTTACTAAGTTAACTCAAGTAGAGATTTTTTTTTTCTATTGTATTTATTAAAAACAAAAGTCAAATTTGCCTCAAAACAATCGAGCATAACAAATAGCATAGAAAAATATCAAATATTAATTAATAGATGATGATGATTATGAATAATCGAAGAAAAATTTCCCTATATTAAAACGAAGTAAGTACGCATTATATTTTTATTACTTTTTCTACCTATATAGAAAAATAAATTAAATTTTAATTGATTTCTTAATCAATTTTTGTTCTTTTTCTTCTTTTCTTTTCTTGTCAAATCTACCTGTATAAATCATAATGTGAAAAATGGAATAATAATCGTCGATAATACTTCTTGATGATGTTGATGCCAAAAGATGAATATTATTGTTGATATATGTCGTCCAGTACTTATATATCCATTCAGCAGAATATTCTGTACATATAATGTTCTATCAGGCAAACTTGTGCGACTCGTCTCGTCTCGTTTGTGCACAGAAACAAAACTTGGTCTCGTTTTTTCTTTCTTCTTCTTCTCTCTCTCTCTTCTTTGCTTTCTCTTTCCTATTTTCTTCATCATCATCATCATACAAGGCACTAACTAACATCACAATATGATTCTCTTCTCTATTCTCTCTCCATTATATTACAAATAGACGTTGTCAATTAATGAATTGAAGAAAAAGAGAAGATATTTTGGCTTCGAGTTCTTATATTATATATATATATTATACGATCGATCGAAAGGCAAAAATTCATTTGAAAAAAAAAATTTAAATTAAAATGAGAAAAAAAAGGACGAACTGGTGCTTCAGTCTCTTTTTTTTTTTTTAATGACAATTCAAATTAGTTAAACATATGTGATGTCTATATATAGAACATCGAATGAATAGACATATATAAGATCATTAGTCGTAAATAAGAGAATTCTTAAATTAAAAAATTCACAATTATTGTATGACTGTTAAGCCAAGTTTATTCTAGTTTTTTTTAATCATCGAAATTGATTTGTCAAGTATGCAATCTCATCTTTTTTTTTTTTAATTTCTATTCTCAATTCTCATAATCAATAACTAACATCAACAACTGCTCTTTGTCTTCTTTTTTTTTTGTTGTTTAATTGAAAATATAATGTTTTTCGTCGTTTGTCATATAGAAAGATTGTAAAATTGATTGTCATTATTAGAAAAAAAAAATGTTCAAATTACTAATAGATGAATGAATAAAAAGCATTCAAAAAAAAAATTGACAGAGGAAAAAAAGACAAAAATAAAACTTGACATATTGAATGTCAAGAGCATTAGCTTTTCTAGTGAACTAAAAGCGATTATCGATTTTAACAGATCGAAAAAAAAAAGCTTTTTACTTAATCAATTTTATATAGGATTTCTTAGGCTCACCTGTTGCAGAAGCAACAGCGCGTCGACGCGTGCTTCGAGTTGCTCTCACCATGTATGGATATCTTTCGTCGTTGACGCAGCGTTTAGCGGTGTGTTCTTTTTTTTTTTTGAAAAGAAATGAATCTAACTGTGTATGTGCGCGTACGTGTGTTACAAAAAAAAAGACGTGGATGTGGCGTGTGTTCTGTTCTTCTTATACATACATACGATAGGACACGAAAAAAAAAAAGAAAAAAAAAAAGAAGCAAATTGCTAAATGATGACGAAGAGAACGATGAAAAAAATCTTTATTCACAATCACCTCTAACTGAATGAGCTAATTAAAACCACAAGATACTTATTTCTCGTTTTTTTTTCTTTCTCTTTTAGCACATTCATGGTCCTCCTGGGGGGGACGAGTGTGCCTTATGTATACACACTATATTATATTGTAGCGGCACTTGATTATCTCTTCACATCTATGTGAAATAGCAACGACGAAGAAGACGAAGAGCGACGAGGATAAAGGTATTGTCGCATGGCGAGAAAAAAAAACGACGATAAGGAAGCGGCGACATTCTTCCTGGGCCTAAAATGTATTTGACGAACACATATACACATACGCAGCAATCAAGTGAATGAGAAAACAATTAAATGGAAATATTCATTAAAAATATGTAAGTGTAATTAAATCCATTGATATATATATAATGAAGTCATTTCAATGAAATAAAATGAGAAAATTAAATTAGATTATGATGCTAATTATTTTTTTTTTTGCTTCTAGTGTCAACTTGACATACGGAATAAATCTATACCGGATTATTGTATTATATGACTAGCAGATGTTATTTAATATATAGATTCACAAAATGATCTAAGGCAAATTCAAATCTCAAATAAAAATCGATAAAATTTAACTACTAATCTCTTTTATTATATTATTTCTTTTATCATCTACAAAAATAAAGTTTATTTATTCGATTGAAAAGTTCATCGAATAAAATCTATTTTATTTTATTTTATTTTTGTCTTCTTTATGAATATTACGTAATTCAATACATCTTGAATTAATAATAAGTTTAAAAAAAGAAAATCATCAATAAATATTTTCTACATTTGAAACAAATAAGATGGTTCTAATAATAATAATAATAATAATCTGATTGACAAAGTTTTTAGCAGACATATATTAATTGAAAGCGAACAAACATGCATCCAAATAATGGTAATTTTCTAGTATGTTGTTGTTATTTCTTAAATATACACATCTGACACCCGTTAAACTTCATATATAATTGTCATCACTTATTCCATATGTATACTTAAGAAGTTTTCTATACTTACCACTAGTATTAATATTAACCATAGGTTTTATTAATGTTGACGATGGTAATACTAAAGATTCTGTTAGTAGATCATCATCAATTAAATCAGAAAACATTATTTTTTTAATATCTGAAATAGAAAAGAAAAAAAAACCTAGATCACATTTTTGTGTTCTATTTGAATTAGGTCGGATACCACTGCTAGAACTATCAATAAATACATCTGGAAGTATTGCTCATTCTTTTTTTCTCGTTTTTTTTTTTCTTTCTCTTTACTAGTCAAGAGGTATGAAGTATGCAAACCAACCAAATGAATCTCTGCTAAATAACTTGAGTGAGAAACGAGATAAAAGCAAGAAGTTGAGGAAATGATAGATGCAGGACGCCATCGCTATCGTTTCTCACAACTCGTCGATTATTGATACTACTGCCTGACAACAGTTATAAAGGAATGTGTCGATAATAATAAATTGACGAATGATAGTACGTTAGTTTATTATAGATACATTCCAGTTTAAGATTAAATTCAATCAATGAGCAACAAATACCATTCACATAATAAAGAAAAAGAAAGTATTATAATAGAGGTAATAATAACATGACCTGAGACGAGAAGAGAAGAAAAAATAAGATTGTATATATTAAACGAAAAGAATCATAGCATTTATGCCCTATGAGAATGATATGTATATAGTACACTTGTTCCTACGTCAAGAAAAAAAAAAAAAAAAAAGAAGAAGAAGAATATTTAAAATGGCAAGAAGTAAAACTTTTCACAAAAATCATTAATTTAAAAATGAGTTAATTCTCTATACATTACTCGGTTAAAAAAAAAATTTGTTCGTACTAGGCCATATGTGCATGCATAAAAAAAAATGGTCGAGTGTAAATAGACGAAAGGTGTTTTATTACAATGACATTATGAATGCAATTCGGCACTTATCGTTGTCGATAATGAAATAATATAGAAAAAAAAAGAGAGAGCATATAGATCTCTGGTCATCAAAGAAGAAATCATTTTCTTTTTAAATATGTTACACAATAATAATGAGCACTGTTCTTTATGAAAATATATAATTCTTTTGTTTTTTTTTCGTTTTCTATCTCACGAAATCCAAAACAGTCACCATGGGATGCTATCAACGAGTAGTCTATGTATATATATATATATTTGTTAGTGTAAAATAATTATTGGTCAGAGAATTAGGAACGTAGTTGTCTCTCTTTCTCTCTGGAGACATATATACGCAAATCTGTTAATTGGTGTACGATTACATCGAGTAAAAATAAAAGAAAGAATTCATTGAATGAAACTCTTCTTGCTCTCTTTATTTGTTTGTATTAGTTCGACACATGCGTTTGCATCTACTATTTACTCAAACACGTGACCACAATTTTCGATTATAATTGATGGTATTCGTCGAAGATAATCCTCTAGTCTAATTCTAACAAATATGTCGGCATAATTTTAACTTAATCAAATAACCATCATTCAACATCGAGACAGTAGGACACTTAATAATGCTTGTCAAAAATCGATTGATGTCGTTGTACAATGTAAAAGAAAATTACCATTTAGATACAAAAAAAAAAGAAAAAGAAAAACGAACGACTGTTTAGTTCATTGAATGATGCATTAACGACTAGTAATTATCAAGTGTTGTTCACAACTACTAGAAACTTCTATTGAAATGATAATAAGACAAGTAAATTATGCTCGTTTTTGATTTCATCGGAATACGATTATTTCTTTCTTTCTTTTTTTTTTTGTGCTTAAAAGAATCAAATTACTAATCACATATTTTTTGGAATTCTTTAGTTTGAATGAAGTAAGAAATACTACACTAAATGATTAATTTCTTCAAACATAAATATAATACAATATGATGTGTATGATAAAGAATGAATAATATTTTAACTATACAATAGAGACTTGCTGTTTAGTTTTGATTTTTAATGAAATAATTATTTATAAAAATAACTGATTTAATTAGGATAAAGTTTTAAACATCTTGGATTTCACATAAACTATTCGACTTCTTTTTTTTTCTGGCTTAACTATTTTGTTTTTTCTTCAACAAAATAATTCAATAATTATAAAATTCATTTTTATTTTCATTTTATATTGTTTCGAAGTGAAAAAAATAGAGAGTTTAACAATACGACATATATCGCATGTCAGTTATAGCTAATTATAAAGACTTACATAGAATTGAAAAATTACTGTGCACGTCAAAAATCTAGTACTAAAATTGATTTTCAATTCATATATTCAACTGTATAGCATCGGATGTATGTAGATACCAGTTTCATATAAGAAATATGTGAATATAAAATACAATGAAACAAATAATATGAAAAAACGTTAAGTTCTTTCTACAAGTATTCATATACTTGAAATTAAACGAATAAGTAAAATGATGTCTTTCAATTAGTGTGCTTCATCTGTATTCTATGTATTTATCTAAAGATAAAACGAAAGTTCACAACAGATCAAAGTTAAAAAAGAGTATTTCATAATATTATAGGATGCAAGAAATAATAGTTATATGTAATCAAGCAGTAGATGTCTGAGATACTAAGTTAGACTCATCGAAACAATAATCCAATTTGTGGAATACAAAGAATTTTTTGCTGTCGTGCAGATATATATAATTAAAAGGGAACTATGTGAACAGATATACACGTCCTTTATGCTCATAATTAGGCATACAAGAACATCTTGATGAGACTAGAAAAAATCTAAAGGTGTTTCTCTTTAGAAGTCTTTGTAAAGTTTCAGTCGAAAAAATTCTTTTTTGTTGGTGAGATATTGTATTTTCAAGTAAACTTTATTTTTGTTAGCTGAAATTTCCAATAGGCATTTACATTATTTATGAGCAAAATTTCATATCGAAATACTGGTTTTTGATTTTTCAATATATACAGAATGGTCAAAAAAATTGACCCTCTTAAAGAATGTAATTCCTGAGCTTATCAAATTCAATTATTCAATAAAGAATCAGTATGATAACCTAAAATTTTCAGGCTACATTTCTAGACTTTAATAGCTTAAGTAAACATATATCAGTTTACAAAGATTATTCAAATATTCGTACAATAATAAGATTGGGTATTTTTTCATTAGGCTATTTATCATGCTAATTCAATGCTTTCGTCACTTACAGTAGTTTTAAATACGATCAATTAAATGCTGATTGTATAAGCCGAACGAGATACGATATAATAAAGGAGTGTGAAAATACAATTCTCATTAAACTAAAAGAATCTTTTGGAAATGAAAAAATTCTGATGAGAATATATGGTTAAGATGTGAATATGTTATTGTATTTTATATTCAAGCAGTTCTTGTATTGAACTAGGATAAACATGCAGTGTACAACTTTCCTTATATAAGTATATAATTATATTAAATTAAAACTTTTTTGCTTATAAAATTGATAATCAAAAGTGATGTAAGACTTTCGACGTATATTATACAATTAAAGTGAATGTACATACATGGAAAAACTTCATAAGTAGTGGAAATGATTTCTGAATCGAATAAAATATTGTTATTTTAACTCAACAATAAAAATCTCCATCTGTGTTATCTATAATTAAACGATTGAATGCGGACTCTTCACTATTATCTTTTATTGCTTTTCTATACATTTTTATGTTGAATAAATAATAGTCTAATAAATCCAACTAATATGCTCATGCATATTAAACAATGACATAATATGCGCAATTTTTTTTTTCTCAAATGACTTCTATTTTTAGTGGTCCTTGTAAATGAGAACAAAATAACATTATCAACACTATGAGAATATGCAAGCATATTGATGAATACAATCACAATATGTCAAAGTAATGACGTGAGAAAACTTAAATTATTTTTTTTTCTAATAATCAGTAGTTCTAAATTTAAAAGAACTTTATTATCTTGTATTGATCATGACAAATATCATAAAATATATCGTACTTTTGAATGCAAGATCGGCAACATATCTCACAATTTAATATATCTATAATTGCTGCAAAATCAATTACAATATACATAGGGGAGCTGCATGACATTGAATAATAGTTTAATGAGGACAGAATAACTCTAAAATTTTAATTCAAGCCTATAAATAAAGCAAAAGATCTAATTAACTAATTTTATCTGCTATTGCTACAAATTCCATAGACTTATATTCTATCGTCATCATCTAAGCATCTAATTTAAGCGTTACTATTTTAGAGTCAAATACGTTGAAAACTTTCGAAAATCTAAAAAATATTTAACGTTATCTCAGTTAATATCATGCACTAAAACAAATTACCTCAACGACAGCAATCACATACGACACTAAAACTACGTGAACATGAAGTTAATGAAAATTTTTTCACATGCGTCAAAGCTTTATTTGTACTCTAAATGATTGTGAGTGTGTTTTAAAAGTTTTTTTTTTATCTGCGTTCAGACGCGATTTGAAACTAAGTCATATCTGGATGTGATTACTACATATACTATCAATTGCGCTCCGACACATTTATTATATGCAACGGGATGAGACGAATTTATTTGTCTCTTCTTAAATGATAACCGAAAACGATTTAAAAATAGAACGCCCCAGATGCATTTAGTAATTTTGATCAAGCGTGTAGAGTTGTTATTTAAATGGGAAACGCATTCAAACGCGTATATTCTGCGTCTGATATTTACATGAATGACCACATTATCAGAGTTTACTAAGTAGTAATTGCTCATTTTACATGCGAACAACAGAAGAACGATGACAGGCATAGCTTTCTCAAAATAGCTCGAATTTGGCATCACACTCTCGAGGTGTCTAGTGATAACTAAGTGTATTTTATTTGGAAAAACACCAAAACAATCGTGTTCCATATGGACACTCTATCTTTACCAGAGATATTCTCAGTGATTAGCTCAGTTTTTAACTGAATTAGCGTTCACTCAAGTAGAATGATATACGGAGTTCTACTACTTTTAACTTAAACGTTCGCACGAAATATACAATATTGGCTCACTTAAAACCGAAGTAAAATACGATAGATAACTAAGAAAATTCTGATCTTAGCTGATGCACTCATTATTGTAAAAAGTATAACTTGTTATTACAGACATGGGAGACAAGGAACAACAATTTTTCCTTAATCGAAAAGGGGAGCCTTTGAAAATTTACATGAATATTGTTAAAGTTTGATTTGCCAACGTCGCTCGAAGTATGAATAGGACATTGATTACTGATACAAGAAAAAATCGAATTTTTCTAATGAAGATGAATTAAACACTTAATCAAACGCTTCTTAAACATTAGAATCATCAAGTAAACTGAGACTTTTCCATCATAATAAGCTTAACACACTAAAATATAAAAACAATAGTCTTTTGATATTTTAAACCGAATTCTCAAATGTATGACAATCAAAAAAAACAACGAAGGAAATCATTCATTGCCATTTTAATTCGATAGTTCTCTTTATCAAGTTTGTGTTGAAATGCAAGATTGAATGCAACTAGGATCCTAAAATCATTGTTTGTTCATTTGTTTGAAATGAATTATGTAATTCTAATGCATTCGAATTAGTAATCCCATTTTCATCTGTAACCAAAACGTTCCCATTTGTTAATATGGATGCTGTGTACGATTCTTGACTATAATTCATACTACTAGTCGTTGTCCAATTTCCTGTTGATGGAAGGTGTGGGGGTGCGTATCGGTGAGTGAACGAAAAACATAAACCTACACCTACACCCTTTCTTCACTTTTAAGTTCGAATCCTAGTCGTCTTGTGGATGATCGATGGTTCGTCATATCGATCATCAAGTAAATTACTTTCAATACGAGAGTATTGTAAAGTTTTTAACGATAGTGGCAGTAAAAAATATTAAGACATCTATAGAAGGAGACGATGAGCAAGAGAAATTTTACTTTAAATAGTCTCCTTTCTAATCAATCATATCTGAATCTACGAAAGGTTCATAACAGTTTTAAAAAAAGATGTTTGATTTGGTACTCCTACGTAGATGAAGGTGTGGATAAAGACCATCCGTTGATCCGCATCCCTGCCTATGATCATATCTCTTGTGCACAAGCGACTGTTGCTAACAAAAAATCGATGAATGAGGGATTCTCCTGTGCCTGAAGCTCACCCGTCATGGCTGTTATAGTAGAAGTGACGCTCAATGTTGTTGCTATGTCCGTCGAAGAGAGATTAATCGTTGACGGTGTGGTAGACAAATTATTGGGCTAGGAAATAGTTGAGGGTTGTATCGTCGATTGAGTTAAGAGAACGGTTGATATAGTCACAGAGATCACAACTACTGCAATCCGAAGTAGAATAAGAAGAGTTATGGCAGGGAAACCAAGTTTTATAAATTGACAATGATCGATGACCACAGTTTTCTTTGGCTTCGTTATACGAACCTGCCACTCTTTATTACTACTTTAGTAGAATCATCAACATCAAATTTTTCGAGTCTAGGTGTTGAATTTGGTACAATCGCACTCTTGAAATCTAATTAATCAATCACAGTGTCTTCCATAATGTTAAATGACCAAGTAGCTCGCTAATCAATATATATGGAATGTGGAAAAATACGTACGAAATAAAAAGTAATACGCTATAGTTTGACTTGGCGATATAGAGAGATCTTTTATTTTCGAGTCAACAAGAGTCAACGATTCTTCGTTAAGACTCTTTAGCAAACATTGTCATAAAGACGAAGGTGAAAAACATTCATCATTTTGTTATCAAATACAAAAACCTCTTTATTGCTTCTAATTTTTTTTTTTTGTTTCCAATTCATCCGTTCTTAAGCTTTCCCATTCAAATTCGTTTCTCTCTATGCGTCAAAGAAACATTCATGACTAGGATGTAGTATGGGTGTGTTGAGCAAGAGTGTGAGTGTAGGTCTAGTATTTCATTTCACCCACCCCCTTTTGTTTTATTTACTGTGGTATTTCTAAGATTGAATCTCTTCGGTTTGATGATCTTTCGAATACATTTTTTTCTTCTAACAATCGGATGGAGTTTTATATCAAGGGGTGATTTGAGAATAATGCTCATTCTCTGATTTTATACTTCTTCAGAAGATTGTAATTGATGAATTTATTACCATTTCACATTACTAATGATACATGAGTTTGATATCATTAATTATCGAAACAATTAGATCATTAAATATCCGATGTAGCAAAAACTTTGCGACACTCTTTACTTTGCATACAGCACTGTTCAGGAACATGATAAAACCTTGATTGTCTTTTCAAAAGATGCATCGCTGAATGTTCTACTGAGATCACAACATCAAATCTTTATCGCTATTTTCGACATTAGAATCGACCATTAACACTGAACACGTGTGCTATTGTGTTATTTCTCATAAAGCAAAAATCGAAAAAGTCCATTTTATGATTGACAACTAAGATCATTTTTAATGAAATGAATGTTACATAAAATAGACTGTTGCGGACACTCTAACAATCCAAAAGGCTCATCATACCACTAATAATTTACACGAGGCCAGTACTAATTTCTCCATAGCGCAGCATCATCATCTTTAGTTGAAGTGAAATTGTTTTTTATTACTTCTTTCAACACCCGAGAAAGTTTTATCGAGAAATTCGTGCATCGAGCTCACTGATTTTAGATTATGTATTTGAAAGTAATACTGCAAAAAAAACATTTTATTTCAGAGCGAAGCATCCAGATCAATTGATACAGACGTTTATTTTTTTTTACAATTTTAAATATCTTTTAAAATTTTTATTTATCAATCAATTAATACTACCCCTTAAAAAGATATTATAAAAAAGGTCCAGATCGGTTTTTTTTTGAATAATAAAACGTGTTCTCAGGCGTTCTTTTTGATAAACTTTTTTTTCATCGATATCTAAATAAAACATGAAATAATCTGAAGATAATGTTAAATATATATATTAGCAATTGATAAAGAATGTTTGTAATATAGAATGAATATGATGGATATTGTTCAGATGAATTATATTTATGAAAACGTTGTAAACTTTTTTCATGTATATATTCACGAATTAATTTTAATTTTAATCCTATTGAATTTGATAATTTGATTGTTGAACGACGAAATGTAATATAGAGTAATGGATAAATAAAAATGAAATAAAATATCAATATTATAGTTAATGGAAAATATCTATAACTAAAATTTCCATACAAAATATATTCGCTTATTATTATCGATGAAAACATAAACATGATTAAATTTGGCAGTATTGATATTAGACATATTAAATTTGTATAAATACAAATTGATAAAAAACTAACAATGGATATTGTCAATGTCCAGGACAGATTATTTGTTAAACAAATAAAAAAAATACGATATATTAAACAAATTGTTATAAATAAATTGATAATTTCAGCAGAAAATTGTTTATATGCATTATCTAATTCTAAATATGTTCGGAAATTCATCAATTGAATTTCATTAATAAAATGTTCGATACAACCACCAATTAAAATTCGATGTAAACGTGGATATAGATATATTGTTATCCATAGTATTGTAGGAATATAAAGTAAAGATTTTAATGGTGTTATATAATGTAAAATAGTAATAATAAATATAAATGGATAAAGATTAAGATCAATCGCATCAAAAAATATCCATAATGTTCTTACAACAACTAATATTATAAATATTGTAATATATACATTAAAAATCGTACCAAAAACTAGATATGAATGAATGTTAAGACAGAAAACAATTACTGTACTAAGTGAAATAATTTTTATTGTAAACTGAATACTTGTAACAGGCCATGCTTTATCTTCTAATTCGAATGTCCAAGTCGATGGTAAGATTTGATGTAATTTTTTGCTATATAGTCGAAGAATATTATCAGAAAATAGATTGAAAGAAGAAAACCATAATTGCATTAATTTTCTTAGTACAGGCCGTAGATATATAAGAAAAAGTGGTAGAAAACACAAATAAATGAGAAGATAAGTTAATAAGCCACTAGTTAAACATATTAATATTTCTCGATGACGATTTTTATATGTTATTTCAGAAGCTATTGCTAAACTAGCAATTGAAGCAATGAGTTTGAGTTCCATTTCATTGCCATATGCTCGTTGAATAAAGTTTAAAAATCTGCGTGTAATAAACATGGTTTGAGCTAATAAAGAAATCGAAAAATAAATTTGTTTTCACCATTCAAATATTCATGCCATAAAGCTTGGCATTTGCAAATAAATTTGCTGCATGACTATTATTTACTCTTCAGGAATAGAAAAAGTCAACATACGTCTATGCATTGGCCATGTGTAAGAAATCGAAAACAAAAAAATTCAACATACATGAGTTTTGCATTTTCATTGAAAATAATTTCATGCATAGATATGTTTACTTCGAAATAAACAAAATCATTATTAAAATAAGTAATTGAACGTTTATTCTTAATTTTAAATTCATGAATTTATTAAACAAAATTGTTTAAATTATGTATTACAACTATCTTTAAACATCACTTATTTTGAAAAGCGATTGATGGAATTATTAACAATGTAAATTATGTAAATAAAACTTAAATGAAGATTTTCGATTAGATTTCTCCGTGGATTCAACTTTTGGAATTCGCATCCGAACTCATGTCTTTCTACTTACATCGAGACCGACTCGACCTGAAAATCTTATTCGTTTATTTATTCTAAACCAACTATGGTTGTCAAATATAATTATTCAATTAAAATACACAATTTCAATAGAAGTACAGAATAGAGTGTGTTTGATAAGTGTTAGGTCTCAATGAAAATAAGTCTATATGCTAATGAAGAGTTTTCTCCATCTAACTCTATCTATGTGAGCTTCAAATACTTAGGACGATGTTTTAAATGGCATTATCTCTTTTAATAATAATGCTATAAACAGAAGAAATGTGATAATCAAAATCTTGAAATCGGCTAAAATTATTTTAAGAAGCTTTAACCAACCTTGAATCTATCATATGTAACGTGACACAATTATACAAATCGATACGTAGTGTCTATGATGAGTATGGATGATTGTGACTATAACCTGTTGCTACACCCTAATTGTTAGATTTCTTCTGTTTATAGCACTGTTATTAAAAAAAAAGATAATGCCATTTAAAATATTGTTCTAAGTACTCATAGCTCACATAGATATAGTTGAGTGGGACCCATTCTTTGTATGCATATCAATTTACTTTCCTTTTTGGTTCACAACGTATGGGACATCCTTTATACACATAGTCTAGACATTATCAAGAAATTTCCATGTTTTTTCGTGTTTCTCGATTTTGCAAAGCATAAAGAAGAGATAGGATAGGGGTGTGAATCTTTTCGTCGTCCACATTCACACCAAAGGAATTACTGCGTGTCATAAATCAAGAATATTTTTTCTTAGCGTCCAATGAAATGATTAAAGGTAATATTTCAACAGCGACCAGTGTGTAATGTTGATTCAATCGTCAATCGGTGTTCAATGCCAAGTTTTGAGGACTAAAGTTGAATGATTGCGCGGACGAATGTTCTGCATTTTGAAAATAGAAAAACAATAAGAAGCAAATTGCGCTTTATTTTACGCTTGCACCTTTCATTTCTTATCAAGAAATGTTTATGTAAGAATCGTTTCATCATCAGGTTTGATATGTGTATCGATTTACTGACACATTCAGTCAATTTATTATGAAAACAGCTGCCTTCAATGAAAGATGCATGATGTTGCCATAAAGACCAGCATTTCGAAGTTTTCGTGCAACATTGATCGAGTTTTTCAAACAGTGTTTCGCGACTTTATAGGCAGCAAAAATAGAATAAAACTTGAGTTTTTTTTCGATTGATATAACAATTGATAGATGAAACAGAATAGACATTTTTATTTGTTGGTTACCGTGTGACAAGCAACACAGATAGGAAACTCGTTGTGACTGCTGATAGAGTTGTCGAGAAAAATTTATCTTATCAATGCGACATTGTCTAATGAGACTGGTATCGGTATAAATAAAATCCAACTGTTTCTGATGAGTTTCTCAACATGTGATACTTACCGAAAAAGAATATTATCTTTTCTCAAAAGTTGCTTCATCTATGTCACGGCGTTTGTGTTTACATGTTACCCACCCTTCTTTATTCTATCTATAAATCATGCATTTAGAAGCCGCATCCTGAGATTATGCGAATCGCAATTTTTTCTCTACTAATTTTTAAATTCATCTAGTTTTGAGTGACAGACTAGAATCTAGAACTGAAAAATAATGCATTTTAATCTGTTTGTCTGCATGAAATGCACGTCTCAAAAACTACACAGAATGCAAAAATTGAATTTTAGACATGTTTAATATGCATCAACATAAATATTTACAACACTGCTAGGTAAGGTTTCTGTTTGCGTTTAATAGAAATCTGTTTTATCATCCGTTCACAGCATCCAACAATATTGTTTCATTTATAAATCGGGCAATCTAATGAAAAGTATGACGGCCACGTTATTGGGTGTGTGGTATGTGCTATGTTTACTATTAGTATTTCCCTGCAAACAATATGTTATCGCGAAGTTGCCATGAAAAGTATGGCCATATTCTATGATTCCAAATGATCCAAACATAACTTTCACAGATGATGAGGCTGCGCATCCACAATGCCATGGTGACTCATGGTTTGTGATTGGTGAATTACGAGGGCTTCTGTCTAACACAACTTATCATTTTGCTACTATTTTCGATCATGATCTCATTGCCGACATTGTTTTCAACTTCTACCAAGCCTCCATTTTTAATATTAATACTGGTGACTACAGCAGCTATACGGAGTACGACTTCTCAATTAAGAATCCGTCTCAATCAAAACTACTGTATTCAGACACTGAACTTCGCCTTTCTTTCCGATCCATGTACGGCAAAGCTACGCGGGTCCATCCAAAGTTCAACAACGGTTCTTCTATCCCATTTAAGTATCAGGTCCATTTGCCTGGTGTTGATAGACAAGGTCGTAGCTTTTTGATCGATCTTGTCAATAATCCAATGAAATATCCATCTCCTTATGGTGATCGCACATTAAATAGTACATTTCCTTTCTATGATCAGCCGAATACCCTGTCGTGGTTTGAAACCGGCCTTCAGCTTAACGGTACAGTGATCTGGGACAATATTAGCGAAATTGTGGTCGGCAATACTTTTCATTCTATTCTGGTATTGCATCTCCAACAGGTCGTCAGCTCTCTCACATATGGTATCAAGTTAACTTGGTCAATGGTGTCGATTTGTCGATGTGGATACAGTATCGTGGATACGAAGCTAATAAGATTGTGCCAACCATTGGGATGACGACCTATGAGCTGAACGATAGTTACATAAACGAGTTTGCAACCGATGTTAGCGTCACATTTCTTTCCTTTACCAAATATCCTAAAACATCCAATGTTCTCATTCCTCCACTTTCATCTAACCGTTGGATACCCGATGTAACTATCGTAAAATGTCCATCTCTTAACATGCAGCTAACATCGAAGTATTCAACTAAAACTTCGGCTATTGACTTATCGATCGAATATTTCGAAGGACCTTCACACTTTGTCAGTACTTTTCGTGGTCAGCCTGTCACTGGTAGTGGCATTCCAGAATCTACGCTCGCATTGTATCATGATTGGGAACTGGCAAGTGTGTTAGAGATCAGCGCTCGAAATCTTCCACCTGAATCATTTAACAAAACTGAACCTGACGCTGAACAACTTGCTTATATCATAGCTGTTCTTAATGAATATGTCAATCCCAACCCATTGCACGAGAAACGGGCTGAGACCGCTTTATATGCGCATTTTACTGTGCTACCTGCCATTAAAACGCTCGTCAATATTCAAGACAAGATGCATCTCATCGAAATATATGATGATTTTCAATCTTCTCTCGCATTGCCATTCGATTAAGTTCGTGCTCTTTTAAATAAATAACTAGGCCATATTTTAAACTCTCGTATCGATCAAATGCTCTTTCCGTTTGCCATCATTTTCATTTGTTTAATTATTTGTGTGCTCCATCCATCTCTCAAGATGGTAGTGTTGTATTTGAAGGGCAATAATGGAGAGACTTAATTTGTTGAAACTAGCAAGAGAATGCTTTCTGCTTGTAGAGGTATGAGTTATGAGTCAGTTACGACTTCACTTCCTAGCAACTAAATTCATATTTATTTCTTAAGATTTAATGAGCATAATGAATAACCAGTACGACGACTATTCATGTCTTTACAGTCAGAAGATGGATGAATACGACCACAAGATTATTTCAAATAGTTCAGTACTTTTTTTTTAGAGCTTCTTCATCCTATTGATTGTGTTCCGTGTCTGATAATCATTCTTTTCAGCTTCATTTTTGATTATTGTTCGAATTTTTCCAGATCAGGTATCTAGTACTTTTTTATATTGATGATCTTAAATGAGATCTGGTTTGAACTGTTTTACAAAAGAGATTCTGCTTTGCTAATATGACGTAAAATTTTACGAGCTTTTTGAATTGGACACAGACAAGTTAACTTTACATTTCACAGGCATTACCCCTCTAGAAAAGTATTTTATATACACTGTTGATAAAAGGGAAAAATCTGTCTAGAACGTGGTTGATAGAAGAGAAAAGGCACATATCCATCAACTAACTATATAATGTATGGATGATTATTTTATTGCCAGTTAACAACACACAAGAGTAACTAGTGAATGAAAAATAGTTCGTCAAAATCATAAACGAATCAAATATAAGTGAAAGTAGGTCATAGTTTTCCATCCGTTTATAGAATGAGATAGAAGCTGATTTGCTGATCCATGCATCTGAAGGACTCGCTTGCAATCATCATGTCTAAAATATACTAGACACTAATAATTTTCACATTTGATTTCTTTTTTCCATAATTTCCTTGTTTCAAGAAATCAATCATATCAGGATCTTATATACATGGACAAGAAAAACAAATAGCATATTGTTTTTTTACTGAATGTATGTCGGTGAAACTACTGTTGAACAGATATTAGGATGATTCTATTGATCATTGAATTGAATAATAAACCTTTCAATGTAAGAGAGAAGAATATTTGGCACTGTCACAAAGACAATTCAGTATAGAAGACAAGATAAAAGTATGGATTTGTGGTTGGTGTGATT